CCTCTTCCCAATACGTTTTCATGGAGGACACAGTCCCGCTGGTGATCACACCACTGCACGCTGCTCCGGCCACCCAGCACCCCATTTGGACCCCACATAACCTTAAAGGGATCCCCAATGCCAGCGAAGCTGCTCTGATGCCAGTGGGACACACTTAGTCTCTCCCATCTGCTGGTGATGGTGACAAAAGAAGAACCATGCCACTCCATGACCAGAGCTCGGGTTTTGCCCATGTGGGTTTTCCTGCCCACTCACCTCCCCAGACGGTGACGTGAAGAGTGAAAAATTCACACCCCAACTCTGGTTTCACTCAGGACAGGGGACACAGCAAGTGATTTGGTGGAACTGCCCAGCCAAGGCGCATGTGACAGTCCTTCAGTCTGACTGTCTTTCAAATCCAGAGGCACAGCCCCGTTTTGGGAACCAACCCCTATGTTGGTTCCAAACTCAGACTCTCACTGCCATCACCCCATGCAGGTTTTTTCTCCCTGGCACATGGTCATGCTGCACCAATGGAGACAAAAGAGAAGGCACTCACATTTCCCACCAGGTTTACTCCAACGTGAGTATGAGCTGGTCAGTGGATTGGTATTTATGACATATCTGTCACATCAACTTCTTTGATGTGAACAACTGTAGATGCTGCTACCACAGACAAGCATGTCAAGCCAAAACTCATAGCAAAACTCCTGTTAAGTCTGGAGAGCAAAGTCAAAGGTCCCACCAGCGCCCCAAGATGCTGGGCTCTGTTTGCCCACCCATAGTCCCATGGGACCTGGATCCCCAGGGCGTCCTAAGTGATGCCCCAGCCTCTCTCACCTCTTCCCTGCGAGGGGCCGTACTGCCAACAACGGCGCGTGTGTCTGCTGTTACGCGGGGGCCAGCACAGGTGACTCTCCCTAAACACACACTTTTGAGTTTGTGGGATGAGGACCTAAAACTGCCAAGAGTAAAAAGGAGCTGCTTGTTTTGCAGTGGGAGTGTGACCAACAAATCACTGCAGACGTACCCAATTCTCTCCTGTAGCGAGAACTGTGTCATCAAGACGTGAGTTAAAATCCAGAGGGTGCAAACAGGCAGAGAAGTCGCTGGCGCTCGGGCTCGAGCAGGAGGCTCAAGGCTTGGCATCTGCTTTTAATCGGAAGCGGTGCCTTTTTCAGTCATTTCCTTATGGGTACGCCAAGCGTCAGCGAACAGCCAAAGAGGACACGGCTCCACCTGCCAGAGCTGACCAGAAGTAAGGCCGCTGGGATCAATGCAGCTATGCCAGGGCCAAGCTGCCTTTTCCATATGAAAATCCTTCTCCCTACGACACTCATTTCCTTTCTACCATTGGATTTGAAGTATAATATTAAAAAAAAAAAAGAAAGAAAAAGGGCAATGTTAGACAATCCCCTTATTTTAAGAGAATTAAAAAACAATTATTCCTTAAAAAAAAAATGAAAAAGGATAAAATCTGTGTTTCCCGGGAATTATTTCTAGGCCAGAACCACCCCTGCTCATCAGGCAGTTAAACTGGGCATAAAGCCATTTTGCTTCTGACTGACCCTGCTATGGGACTGCGCTGGACAAGGGGGTTTGGGACACAGTGCAGGCAGTGGCTTAAGCACAGACATTAGTTTTAGAGACCTCAGGGAGCCCAAGGCAAGGCACACACACCAGTCCTGTCCCGGTCGTGTGTGCTTCCCCGAAGCACAGCCCTGTTGTTTCCAAGTCAAATGGGATCGCTCTGCGAGTTTCCCTGCTCCTGCACAACTGCGTTCCCATGTACTGGTGAGGGAGCCAGTTAAACATAGATACACAGTCCTTTTCAAACGCTTAATATTTCTAGCTTCACTGTAATTATATCCTGCAGATAAAAATGGTGCTGAAGGTCAAACAAATCCTCCAGGAGAATATATTCTGCATGGAAACTGTTGTTGTTTTTTTTTTTTTTTTTAACTGGAAAGGTTGTAAAAATACTGCAGATTGAGAACCTATAATTATCCATTAAAATCACTCTGAGCCTACTGAATTCACATTTGTCCATGTTCAACCTCTGGTCTCCTATTTATAATGCTTATATGTACCCAAAAATCAGCTTAGGTAAGAGGCGACTGATCAGAAATACATTTTTCCCGGACCATTTCTGTGGTGTTAGGGGGTGATGCTCTGTGGAGGACCAGCTGTGGGGCTGGAGCGCTGGGCTGGGGTACCACCGTCCTGCAGCTGCTTTACTCCTCTGTGCCCTTTACAGACGCATCCCCACATCGACCCCCAAGACGACAGGGCTGCAGCATCTCGGCCGTGGGAACCTCCCTGCTCGGGAAAGGCTTTTGCACCCCACCGGGGGCTCGGCACCTCCATTAGCAATGGCTCCGACAACTGCATCCCGAGCCTAATCCCACTGTTTGGCTGCAATCTCTGAATCTGCACGGGGACGGAGAGGCAGCCCTTGCTGCCAGCACGTGGGGATGTAAGTCCGCCCTTGTAAGGGAGGACTGGTGGCTTTTGCTCTGGAAATACTCCTCCGGGAGCAATGAGCAACGTGACCGCCGAGTGCTGTGGCCAATACATTTGTCCAGGGTGGCAGCAGTGCAGTTACCCACCAAGAGTTCCATCTCTGCTCCGCTCCAGCCTTGCCCTGCTCATACGCACCCCCCCGGGGCAGCCCCAGGCAGGGACCTGCCCTCCCCTGTCCCCTCAGGCAAGCAGAAAGAGGGTCCAAAGCCACCTCTGCACATCCCCCTGGGTACAGCTACGTCATGCTTAATACATATTTCCATTCACGCCGAGGTAGGGAGCTGGATTTTCCTCTCAGATACACGGATGTAAAGCCAGAGGAGCTTCACGGGTGTCAAGGGGGTTACACGAGACTTACGGGTACCACACTCGCTCCCCTGAGTGTACAGCGGCCGCAGCCTGAGGATGCAGAGCAAGGGGGGAGGATGGAGCGAGGCTGGGGGGCTCTAGCCCTGTGGATGTATCACTGTTATTGATGTGCACAGTTTACACCCTGCTGATGTACTACTTTCTTGGGGGGAAGGGGCTGTTGGACCCTCCAGGAGGCTTTCTTGGCCTTTGAAATCATTTGGATCTTGGTGACGCCCCTTGCCCTGGCTCAGCTCATCCCTCCCTAGCGGAACACCCCTGCCACGGAGGGCAACTGGCTTTATATAGAAAAAAAAACACATTTTCCAGCAGCGATTTATCTCCCCTGAAAGCAAATTACCGTCACTAATGAGCACTGATGTTTACACACCAACACCTTGGCCGCCAATAAAAAACAAACCATCAAAAGCCAAATCTGTGCAAATACATCTCTGGTCTAAGCCAACCCAGCCAGGAAGATAAAGTTGGGGACCAAATGCCACCGAGGTGCAGCAGAGATGCTTCCCAGCATCCAAAACACGCCTTGGCATGGATGCAAGGCTTCTCTGATTTAAAGGCATAATCTATACTCTGCTCCTGAGTTACTAAAATCCTGTAGCCCTTTCAGCATGGGTCAGATCACCCCGTTTTACGTTGCAGTCTCTGAGAGTGATGTTCAGCCATTTGAGTGGGAAATGTCTGTTCCCAGCAGATCCAGGCTCCCTTAACGGCACGGGGAGAGGCAGGCGCTCCGGGGATGGAGCTCGCTGGGGAATCGGTGCCAAAGGAAGGTAGGGTGGAGCTTAGTGCTTTTATAGAGATTATTTGGAAAAAAGAAGAACCCGAGCGAAATGGCTCTTCCCCGGGAAACTTGAGACCTTTGCTTCTCTCCAGACACGCTGGGGACAGCTGTGAGACTCGGGCCTGACACCGGGTGCCCAGTGTGCCTTGGAAATGGGGTTTTGCACTGGGAAGGGAGAGGACCCACCGGCTGGTACCTCCTGCAGGACATCGGCAAAGGGTGGCAGTGCCCGTGCCAGCGCTTCAGAGCATGCAGAGCTGCAGCATCCCCAGCTAACACCTGGCAGGGCTGTTCCCATCTCCACCCAGAGCGCGACATCTACTTCAGACCCGACTCTCACTTTAGCCTCCAGTTATGGGCATCATCTTTCCCGTCCCCAACAGCAGACTCACCAGCCCCTCCACACTGCAAACAGGCCTGAAGCAAATGATTTCAACCTCTCATGCTCACGGGTTCTCCATACCCTCCCCCCTGACGATTCCCTGGGGATCCCTCGTTTCCCACCGCCTCAAACCCAGGGCAGCAACTTGAAGACAGCCAGCAAAACTCCTTGAACTTAAAGAAAAGAGTGTTCTCACCTCCCCTCCACCCCACCATCACAGCAGGAGGGTGATGCTGGCCTCCACGCTGCAGTCACTGCTCTGTCACCGTCCCGTCCCCCCCGCCAAGGTCGCCCCTCCCCGCC